TCAATATTTTCGAAGTGCAGATATACATAAAGTTTATTTTATTTTCTATGAAGAAACCGAAAAAGCGATAAAAAATATAGGTTGCCATTTAAAAAGACACAGTTGGGATCCGCCCAGAAAAAATCGAACACCCTGTGTGACCGCCAATATTTTTATTTTGTCGAGCTCGAGCAATAAGGTAATATTATAGAAAATTAGATTCCTATCTGCTTCCTATATAGAGATATGGAACACCGCGCCACTGTTGCAGGACCGTGTATAACTTCAGTTCAAAATCACAATGTGGTTAGTAAGGAATATTTCTTTTTCCTGTTTTACAGACTGGGCCGAAGTCATGATTAGAGAGAACAAATCCTGGCTGGTAGGATGTGGTCGAATGAAACTTGTAGTATCTAACTTTTCATCTGCTACTTCGGCAGATATTTTCAGTGGTATATGCATTGACTGTGAGGACGATGGTAATATCTCAAAGCAGCAGAGGATATATAGCACACGATTCCAAGCAGAAAGTGTATCAAAACTCATTATATTACTCAATTTATCAATGAAGAATAGGAAAGTGAATTTTCTCCAAAAATCAGTGACTTTAGTATCAGTTTAAAATTTCACTGGTAGGCTCTTAAAAGATTAGCACAGGCACCGCTCTTAGAGCGCTTCAAGGATTTTCCTGTGGTTCTTGTGTTTTGTCCTTTGAAAAAATAATAATTCCAATTAAGATTTTTAAAAAACCCAGACTGTTCTAGTAATTGTATTGAGTTCAGAAGTTGCATTATTTATTTCTTGAGACTCACCTGATGTTGAAGTATTTGAGATTGTGTGCTCCTGACAAACATTTGATTGCATAGGTAGATATCTCTCGATTTGACCAATCTAATTTCCTCATCAGTCTCATTATTTTGTCTGTGTTATTTTTCTGTAGGTCCTGATACAGCAATTTTCTGATGAATTGATGCATGACAGGCCTCTCCTTCTTCGCAATCGTGACAACTTCTGGTGGGTTGACATAGTAATAGGCATTTTCAATCTGAGTAACGTATCTCGAATCTAAAGGCATCACAGATTTTTTTCTCATCATCTGTTCCAGGTACACCTTTGTCCTCTGGTGAGAATCAGGGCTACAGTACAGAAATCTTCCACAAACTTCCAGTAAATTACAGGCCATTTCTATGTGGTGATGGGAAAAGTCATGCAGTAAAACCTTTAGGCAGTAAAGTGCCTCTATTTTTGAATACAAATTGAATTTCACTAGTTCTCCTATGAACCTAACGACTTTTATCTTTGATTCGATGTTTATTTGATCTTTCTTTCTAACATGATATTTGAAATCTTGCCTCAGCATTTGGCACAGTTCATTTCCTACTTCCGGCAGAGCTGGTTGGAGAATAGCTACGAAGCGGGCATAGAATGGAAGCAAATCTAATCTGGTACGATTCACAGCAAACAAACTACGGACAAGTTTTTTACGGTTATGTTTGGTGTTGAGCGTTACTAGAAAATCTATTGCTGCGTTGTCAATCATCTCTCTATTGACACAATTGGGTAAATTGTTCAAAAATGCTTCTAAAACTATTTTATTACTAGCTGTTGTTGTTGCTACATCCTCTGTTTCTTCCTCAACTGCAGGAGGTTCTTCTGTTTTACCTTCAAAAGAAAATAAATCAACTTGACTATAAGATATATTTCTCCAAAGTATTGTACATGTCTTATTACATCAAATGAATTTTTTATAACGAAAATATTTATAATATCTACATTAGATCCCTGATTATCTCTCCAAACATCGTATCCAAATTATATAATGAAAGCAATTGCAATTCGTTAAAAGTTGAATTACTATATAAAACAGATATGTGAATCAATAGTGTTCACAATATCTCTTACAATGCTTCAAAAAAATAAGTTGAAGATTTCTGCAATCTCATCTTCTTTTTCGATAACCACCTTCTTCCCATCGAGTTCAAACTGAATGTCATTAACAAATGTATCAATTTTTTTTGGATCTATCAATTTTTTTATGTTTTCTACATTTTAGGCGGGTCATTTCTATGCATTTCTATGTAGATTTGATTATAGTAATTTTTTTTTAGTCTAGTTAAATTTATTCCTTCATTTAGTTTTTTATAAATCGAATTGGCATCACTTTGGTTTCTTCTATATGTTAAGTATACATTATTTCTTTCTTTAGCTTTTTCTTTTATCTCATTATCATATCAAGGCAAATCATTTATTCTGTGTTTTTATAGGTTCAACCGAACAACCTCATTTATAATGGGGAATGTTCCTCCTGACGAAAATCAAGTAGGTTTCATAAAAGAGCTCTAAAACAACGTATTTTAAACTTATCATTTCAACCTTTCCCTTAAAAAAAATATTTGGATACTTAAAAAAAAGAATGAAATAATCTGTTACCTGTATGAGACAAACAAAGATGACATATTTCAGAGGCGTGCTGTTCTGTTTACTTATGTTCCGAGATATTCTGTTACATATGACATTTTGTGCACCTAACCTATCTTCCTCTATATAAATAAATAACGAAACAACTGTTGTTTATGTGGCTTGTGGACGTGGTATTGAACTATAATTTATATTTTGCCTTAATTGTTGATTTATAAAGATAATTTTCCTTTTTTAAAGTAGAATATCTAAGTACGTATAAATTATTTCAACTTGATATAGGCGCTGTTGCCAATATGTGAATTAGAAACAAATCCATTTAAAAATTAAAATCCAACATTTGAAACATCAATTTGAATACTTTTTGAAGTGAATTTGAAAAACTCGTGAATTAAACTCAACTTTATTTTGTTCAAACTTGCATTTGCTGTAATAACCCAAATTGAGGAACATTCCCCATTTTACCACAAGTATCCTACAGAATTTGAAAAGGAATGTTGACATAAACTGAATCGAGCACTCAAGTGGAAAAAATCGGGCATATATAGACTAGAATGTGGTGACTGTCCAGCAACAGTTCGTAATCGTGATATATTATAGAAGATAATTAGTTATTGTTTTAGTTTTTTTTCCAGTTTGTGTCTCAAAGTTACTTCTTTGCATGATCTACACATCAAATTTTTTGTATCAAGATGGAGAAGTAGAAAGCCAGAACCTTTGTTTCCTGAAAATGTATGTATTGTAATAGAATGTTATTTAAAAAATTACTTTCAATACCATTGTCACACATTTTAGAAATACTGCTGATTTTAGTCAAACATTCTTCATGAAATTAAATAAACTTACTTTCTTCTTCCAAATCTTCAACTGGCAAATCTGAATCAAGAACTTCTTCCGTTACAGTTTCTGCTGGCGGTGGAGTTTGCCCTTTATTCAAAAATGATGTAGGAAGAAAAACAGTCAGTTCAGGAAGATCACAATAAAATCTCTGTGTTTCAATATCACACCAAATATTTTCTATATTAACTGTAACGTCCTCCATATCTGTTCCTGAACCAGTCACAATCATACTCTGAAAGAATATTAATTATTCAAGTGTTCGAAAACTTGCAGATATCTTACCTCCTCATTTTTTGGCATGGTTTGCACTTTTAACGTCGGCATATCTTCATCTAAAATATCAGAAAAATTTTGGGTATTTGTTAAAAGTTTATCGTAAGCTGACTGAAGTGACTCAAGTTTTTCCTTCCTCTCCTGACTTAATTCACCTTTGGTTTGCAAAATACGCATATTCTGTTTCTCAAAATTTTGCATTTCTATGTGGTCTTTAACCAAATGTTTACTAAGAGAGATATAATAATCTTTCAAAAGACATCTAACATTTTGTTTCTTTTCTGGCGGTAAAAAATCACTTCGGGGAATTTCCATCTGATATTTGATAGATAACTCTCGCATACGTCTGGAAATGAGGCCTGCGAAAATAAAATGAACATTAATATAAGAACTATAATAACAGTAGTTACGTACACAAAAGTCTTTGCCTTCTAGGTAAAGCATTTTCAGAAATATATCGAATTGATATTTTGGATAATAAAGATTGTAAACACAGGGTGCAAACACTTCTAAGTATTAACGAAAAGAACCCATTTTCAAACCAGTAACTGAAAATGTATTTTGATACTTAGGTTTATCTGTATTTGAAAATATGTAGTGAATATATCAACAATTTGTGTAAAGGTAGTTCTTAGTAGCTAAAAAAAGGTTATATCTATATATACATAATACATATCTACAAAATTCTAGTGTTATAAATTATTGTATATGAGTAAAAAAATAGTATAAAAATATAAAAATGTGAGAATGTTTGTTATAAAGTCACACTCTACACTCTATACCAATATAAAAATTCAAATCATTATCATTGAAATTAATCATTAATTTCCACTCTCACCTGAAATGTGACATTTTGAATTGAGGGGACTCTAGAGACTCGTACAGATATTTCTTTGAAAAATTTAATATTTAACAGTGGCAGGGACATTAATCCCAGAAGCTTGTGTTTGAACAGAGGTTGAATAACATGTATAAATGTTTACATAACCATAACACAAGAGAACAGTTGTTACTACCACCACGCCATCGTACTGCCCTCTTTTACGATAGTTATGAAGTGAATTGACGCAAAAACATGTTTTTGAAAAAATGATGAAACAACACAGAGTACAAAAAAATTACTACACTTTTGAAGAATTCCTCAACTGAATCTTATATCTTTTTTTAATCCTTGTGACTGTCTATAAAGTATTGTTTATTGTATACAGGTATATATAATATATTATGTAACGCTCCCATTGACGTCCTTCACAATAATGTCTCATAGTGTGCATTCAACCCACTTGTATCATTGTGAACAACTTTATTGATTGAAATAAACTGTTATTATTATTATTACTGGACCTATAAAGGTAGCAAAATTATTTTATGAATTTTCATAATCAATAATTTTTTATACTGAATTTTTCTAACTTCCTTGCAGTTTCTTTTTTAAACTAATGATTGTATTCATCAATTTTGGTGATATATTTTCAGAGCATACTCTTGATTGAAGTATGTGACAAAGTAACACAACCGCATTAAAATTACAATGATATGGAGAAAATCTTAGTTTGGCTATCCCTTTTTTATAGCTAGATTATTGCAAACATGACATTCTGAAAATTGAAAGGTCTTTATATTTTAAATAGTTAATTTTTTGTGTTTCTTATATATCACTGCACAATAACTAATTCCGAATCTAGAAATGTAGGCTTTCACAGCTGGCGTCAATGTTTTGGAGGGTTTCCGGGTTTTGCCGTGGTCTTCTTTGGTTATAATCTCCAAACGTTTCGAGCAACTTCATCTTCAGTGACGTGGTCGAAGTACTCTTCTTTGACGTGTCAACTGACACGTGACATGTTGAAGTACTATTCTTGACGTGTCAACTGACACGTCAAGAAGAGTACTTCGACCACGCCACTGAAGATGACTGCCACAGTTGCTCGAAACGTTTGGAGATTATAACCAAAAAAGACCACGGTAAAACCCGGAAACCAACCAAAATTATTCTGAATCTGTTTTTATTCTTGAAACGCCAGGAACTCTTGAAAACTGTCAACGATGGTAAGAAGCATTATTCGTTATGATGAGAAGCATGTAGCATATTTGGAATCAGTTTTCTTGTGAACGATTTTTTTATATTAGATATTATTATGTCATCAAATTCTAGTAAAAAGTCATGAATCCTATTAATTTGAATCAGACGTCATGTTTTTCTTATAGAAAAACATCAATTTCTATCGAATGGAAATAAATATTTTCACTTGTAAATTTCTTTGAAAGTCTAAAATTATATATTTGAATTACAACAATCTGTACCAAATATGTACTTACACCTTTGATTGCAGCTAGTCTATCATTCAGGCTTAACACATTTGCAGACAAGATGGTATATGCCGCAGTGCATTACAGGATAAGGGGGTATATGCCGCTCAAGTTGAATTTTCATTAAAATCCGAAGCTGTATGTGCTGTGCTATGTCTGCAGTATATGATATATAATAGGGTTTATTGTCCCATATGAACTCGTAAAATATTATTAATTGTCCCTGTGTGACGTCTGAAATATATCAATTCGAATAAAATTTAAAAGACGAGGTGGAGCGTTTCTGTGAGCACCTACAATTCAATTTATTTCCACAAAGCACAGGGGTACAGGATTTGTCACATCACGTCACAGAGGCAGTATCAAATTTTGTAAATCATAGGAGTTAATTTCAGTAAACCTAATATACTTATCAATATTTTGCTCAACATTTAGTAGTACTGAATAGATTATCAAAGAAAAAAAACTCTTCATTTGGAGTTCACAAAACATTGGTTTACAGGATTCCATGTAGTATACACCCTGATATTTCTCAGTTCCTTCGGGTAAAGTAAATACTTAATTCAAATGACAAAAAACTGCAGTGCTTGAGACAGTTGAACCGTACTGTAGATGCAACTCAAATAATGTATAGTATGAAGTTGAAGCTGAAGATTGATTTAAAACTGTTGAACTGTCAATTCGTTATATCACTGAAAACACTTCACATAGGTACACATACATGTGTTTGAAATAGTAATACCTACTGAAATTGTTCACAACTCTTTACCTGCATAATCATCTCCACAGTGTTTGCAAAAACTCAATATAATAGAAGCATTGAAATGGTCTTCTTTATCCATATTTATTAGATTCATCAAAACGGATCCCAGTAAGGTTAGAGCATTCTTATTTGAGAAAATTCCTGCTTGTAGCAAATCAGCGTAAAACCTTAAATCGACTCGTAATTTACTTGGATTGGGAATCTTTTCCCCCAGCTTTATCGCCAATACTTTCTGCCAATTCTCGAACAGATGCTGTGAAAATTCTATATAAGTTTGGTGAAGGATACTACATAATTTAACTGCCGCAGGAACATCATTCATTTTGAGTTTTGCTTCCACTAATGCAGCAGCCACTTCCGATATATATTTCGACAAATTCAATCCAAACATATCTTTGAGGTAACTATCAAGATGAACAGAGGAAAAATTCCTAATTTTCTTTACAAACGCAGTGTTTTTCTTTAAACTTGAATCCAATTTACTAAAATGAGAGTCACTTGGTCGTGAATTTAGGGCATTTTGATTTGAAATTCTCAATTCTTTTTTGAAATTCAACTTTTCTTGTACCTCTTCAATAAATGAGGTTAGGCTCATTTTTTCAGTTTCATCTGATTTGTCTCCACATTCTTCTTGATTGGGATCGTTGACAGTCATTGTGTATTTTTTTTTTTTGCTTGATTATCACAAACTTACGAGATAATAAATCACATTAAATAAGCATATTGCTTGAAGTTTTCCTTGATCTGTCAAGTGGTAATCATCTAATAACTATATAGTATCACATTTCACAATATACTAACGCCTAACGTCACAGTAGAATACACTCAGAGTAAAAGAGCCACAGAACACCCAAACTTAGGTTGTTCTGTGAGAGCTATGCAGCTGTGAACTAAAGCCAAATCTTATTTTATCTTCCTCTTCTTGGCGTTTAGGCCTAAACTTATTACCCATAGTCGAAAGACAAAATAACCTGTATTTTGTCCTTGTTTGATGGAAAGATGTAGACCCTTTAAGGCTAGTTCATGTTGGAACGAACATCGCATAAAGAGTGTGATTTAAAACGGTGTCGTGTTTATCGTAAAAAAGTTGAAAAAATTGAACTTTTTTGCGATTTCCGCAAAATGTTATACGTCATCATACAAAGTAGTTATATTGCTTTGACTCCCGTTTTTTAAGCCCATACATCGAAATTGAATCTGAAAAGGACGAATGTGTCAGGTTGTTCAAATTTTATCAACTTTACAGTAAAAAACTTCATTGATAAAACCCCATCTTTATAGTGGGAAATATTTTCAAAAATAGAAGAAAATATGGAGAATATCACAATCTTGTGGCTGAAATAAATGAGAATTAGTGATCCAGAGAAACATTTCAACTATTTCAGGGTCACTCTTTTATTATTCAATAAATTATTGAATTTGGTTGGCCCCTCATTAAAGAAAACTCATTTTGCAAAAGAACCCCTCGCCTCTGCAGGCAGTAACGTTAAGATAAGTGCTTTGAAGACACGCTTCTATTAAACAAAACTTGAGAAAATTGTTAGTCCTATATTCTGATATGATGGGTTCTGGTCTTGAAAGTCGTAATTCGTATGAGTCGTATGAAATCATTCAGGTTCATGTAATAAAATTTAAAATTCAACAATGAGATCCCTAGATATTGCCCGCTTCAACATGAACTGGGTATTTTGACAATTGAGGCAAATTTGCGGAACCGCAAAAATATTATCGCAATCGTTCTAATATGAACTCACATTTAGTCTCTTCCACAACAGATTTGATATCCTTTTCCCATTTTCTTGTTTAATTCGTTGTCTTTCAGTGCCCAACTAACTATTGAGATTTTGAAGATTTAGTATGAAGATTTTGGAACATAAATGATAATGGTACATAATCAAGAAAATTATAGAATAATGTATGCAGACTTATTATGATCAATTTTAATTTCATTTATTTTTTTTATCTGAGAGAAATTCATGGGTAATAATTCTCAAATTGATAGTTTGAATTTATTGTTATTGGAAGTGTGGTAGTTTCAATTAGAGGTGAATACCATTTTCCAAATATTTATTTACTTATGATGCACTGTTTGGAACCTTTGGTGTAGTAATGAATATTACTGGAGTTTTTTCCCAACACCAAATCTTTATTTTTAACACCTCGACACGTGTTTCGATCACCAAGTGATCATTTTCAAAGAGGAAGATGAGTTTTAATCTCACTCCATTGTATGGCGAAACACGTGTTACGTTTCTGTAAAATTGTTTAGTGAAAATCTCACAATAAAGTGTTTTCTGAATACTTTATTCAGAGGTTTTTGACTATGTTCAATGAACGCTCACTTGATTTATTTTCTCATTTCATTTTGATTATCACATTTATCTTGACTCACCACATATACCAAGTGTATCATGATAAGTTAATAAATATTATCGTATCTTAAATGGGAGTCAAATCTTTGTAATATAAGAACCAGAATGCAAAAACACCAAACATTACCTATATAATTGGTGCTCATCAAGAATTTCTATTCATGCTTACCATGTTTATCACTAAATGCAATATTATCAAATGAAACAAAATTTCGAAAAATTACAGTAATTTACAAATTAGAAACGTAATTCCATGACCTTTCAAGGATTTTATGAAGAAGACCTAATAAAAAAAAATCGAACAAATTAATATCGAATTTATTTGAAACAAAAATTTAGAAACAATTTTATCAAAAGTATATTACATTTTGTTAAATACCTATCACTGCATGACATATTGTACTCATGAGATATACTTATTAATCGATCTTTTCTCATATTTCTGAATCAGAATGTTTATCCACTTATAGTAATTAACATTTTTATGTTTATCATAGGTAAATATATAAGAATATGAACTCAACAATGACCGTCGTTTATGATCATCCAATTGAGACTTTATCGGGTGAGTCAGATACTTGTTCAAATAATTAACATGTAGCTGACCATCGCCAATCTTGTGCTTACCAAAGATGAACATATTGAGGAGTCTGAACCAATAGGATTTCTCCCGTTTGAATTTTGTGGTTGATCTTTTATTTGCATTTACATTATCATATTTGTATAGTTTATTTTTTAAGAGTCGAGGTTGAATATCAGTATTTCTTAACTCTTCCATTTGTTGTATCAAAAAGTCATTGACAACAGAGAAGGAGGCAGAAAGTATTATTTTCTTAATTTCTTTCTCGTCAATAACTTTAGTCATCTTGGCATTGTCTAAATAATATTCATTGGTGGAGTTTACAGAAGACAAAGTACTTGTACTATTAGGAACAGAACAGGGATTCAAAACCCTGTTAGGAATTTCGTTGATAAAGTTGGGATTAACAGGGTTCGGAACCACACTTTGTTTATTCATCATAGCCATTGTTTGTAACTGGCTAAGCACTGGCAGCTGACTGAACAGTTTCAACGTATAAGGGGGTAAGACTTGATTTAGGTAACCTATCTGACTGGGAGGTGGTAACAGACCAAGTACTGACAACTGATTGGGTTGTTGTTGATTTGGAAACGGAAATTGATTAGACATTAGAAGAGCATCAATTGTGGGTTGGTAAAAAACACTGTTATGGGCAGAAGACGTGCTGGGAGCAGAATCATCTAAATTTCTTGGCACACACTCCTGTGGGTCTTCATTAGCAACAATAGATTGTGGCAATTTGTTCTTGTCCTCAGCCAAATTGTCTTCATAATTAATGATGTATGGTGTGGTTGGCGGATACTCTCTATTATAATTATTACATTCATGCTCTAAATGCCCTTGTCGGGCACATCCTGAACACCACTGTTCATGTCTTGGTTTGAATTGACCTTGAGATATAACAATTGGACCTTCGATAGTCTGAAAAAAATTACACACTTCAAATAAATTGTATAATGGTATTGCCAAATATTATCAAAACTGCTCATAAAAGTCATATAATGTGTCCCAGATAAAGAGGACCAGCAGGGGAAACCGGAAGAGATTTAAAGTCTGTTGCATTAAGAAAAAGTTGTTTATTCAAATGACGTTTTTAAATTCACTAACTAAGGAATTATGGTGATATATCAGTTTTCGCTGAAGAGGCTAGATTATACCAGGTGATTTTTTTTTCTGGTCCTTATAAAAAATTAAAATTGGTGATGGTTTCTCAGAGATGAAATATCTGTAAACACCAACTTGTACAGCTTAAAAAGTGGCAATGGAAAAGTAGTATTGTGTTTTAATATATTCCTAAATAATGTCAGAAAAAATTTTCAACGAAATTCGTAGCTGTGGTAGTTTAATTTTTCCAGATATTGTAAAAGTTCTGGTTCGTTGCCCATAAGAGAAGTAAATTTTTCAAATATTTTGGGGGTTGCTAATAAGGTTATTCAATTAAAGTAATTAGATAGACACAAGCATCGGCCGTAGAAAGACATGTTTTCACAATCTTACTACTTACCCAATAGATATGACATGAAGATGTTCTTTTTAATAGTTTTCTTCGTACATTATCGTAAATAATATTTTTCAAAGTTTAAAATATCTTATTCAAAACTTTATTATACTGATTTTATGAATTTTAGACTTACGGTTATGAAGAGACCTGTTGCAACTACAACTTAAATTTAGTGTATATTTCAACGATTCATAGGTAAAAAGAATATGTTCAGGTTTGAACAGAAAATTAATTCAATTTTTCTTCCAGTGGAAATTTCTAGTTTCACAGAGTATAGGTTTAGTATATTGTATTATGTATTGTACAATCTCCAATGTACTGAATATTATGTGACAACAGACATTGCCGACTTATATGAAAACAGAAACATCTCAAAATCATCAGAACACACTTTTCTAATACAAGTGGTTGGTGCCATAATACACACTAGAGTTGAAACTTCATAAATGTTAGGAAATTTGGTTGGTAATTTTGTGTTTTATATCAAGTTATTTATATCAATTCAATGCTTCACCACTTTGCAACAATAAACTTCAAAATAATATTCATAATTTTTTATTAAATAAATAGTAGTAGGTGGTATATCAACTTACGGTTGAATGATATCTTCTCCAAATATCAGGACATGTATTTTCAACGTGCCCCTTCATTTTGCATAACCTGCACACGGAATTACGAAATTTGAAACATTTCCAACAATAAGTTGTCGAATAATCTCCATGATTTCCACACTGCAAGAAAAAATATCAGTTTTCTAAAATACAATCAAAAATCCGATTACAAAAAAAGAATTATTCAATAAAGAAAATATACTCTTATTATCACATAGATATATCATTTCACGTTAAAAAAAACCATTTAAGAGAATTAGTAATGAAACCATTATCAAATCTGGATCAACAGATACCAAAATTATAAACACTGCAAAGAATTCAACATGAATTCATGATGGTATATTTTAAAAGCTTGATGTTTTATGCTTATATTCTTTCATAGTTTATCCACAGGGCTCATTTACATGTATAGAAATAATAAGTGCCTAAGATTTTTTTTACACCTGACAAACGAGGTCTGTTCAAAAAATAAGGTGAATGTTTAAATTTCTAAGGCAATTTTTTTATGTTGTCCCACTCGTTTTGAACATATGTTCACACTTTCAGCTGTTTAGTTTGTTGGTGAGAGGCATTAATATTAGAAGTGTTTTGCGTTTTCAGAGATTTTCTGTCATCAAAAAAATGGATGAAAGAATTTGCATTAAATTTTGTGTAAAAAATTGAATCGAGAGCTCAAAAACTTTTGAAATGTTGACAGTGACATACAGTGATTGTATTCTGACTCAGAAAAATGTTTACTCGTGGTATAACACTAGTCGAGTCACAGAAGGTCGAGAAGATGTGAATGATGACGCTTTCCTGGATTCCCCAGCACATCAAAAACTGATGAAAATGTTGAGAAAGTGGAGAAAATTGTTATGGAGAATCGTCGAATTACCAAAATTGCTAAGTAGGTCGGCATTTTGGTTGGCTCATGTCACACAATTTTTTCGGAAATTTTGGGCATAAAGCGTGTAGCAGCAAAGTTCGTTCCAAAATTGCTGAATTTTGACCAAAAAAACATCGTATGAGCATCACCTAGGAAATGATGAATGACGTCAACGGGGATCCAGATTTGTTTTAAAGGGTCCTAAGTGGTGACAAATCATTGTATAAAAACAATTCATGGCATTTGCATCACGATAATGCAAATGCTCACTTTTCATTGCTTGTTCGTAAATTTTTTAGCCAAAAACAACACCGTTATTATGCCTTAGCCACCGTATTCACCAAATTTGGCTCCCTGTGACTTTTTATTATTACTAAGATTAAAGAGACCCATGAGAAAACGGCGTTTGGCGACAATTGAGGAGATAAAAACTGAATGCCTTTCAGAACTGCTCCGAGGTTTGCAAAAAACGGCGACCCAAGTGTATTATATCTGAGGGAACTCAGAAGGGAACAAAATAGAAATTGATGAATAAATAAATATTTTTTGGGAAAAATGAAAATTTTCCTTAATTTCTGAACATACCTCGTATATCGATATTGATTTAGGTACACAATTTTTTAAGTAAGTACTCCATTTGACTAATTATTCAATGTTCATTTCTACCTGTGTACATCTTTTATTTGGACACCTCGGTTCTCTATGGTCTCTTTGACCGCAAAGAAAACAACTTGGCAGTTCTGGTTTTTCTGTACATTTCAAAGCTATATGTCCAAAATGCCTGCAGCGGTTACACCTCGGTCCCTTATTACCATCCATTTTTAAATAGGTGGCACGGTCTTTGTGGGAAATTTTCCATTTATCTGGATCATCTGAAAAAATTCAAATATTAGATCTGTGATATATCTTAAGAGATAAAACTGACTGAGATGTCTTGAGAAATAACATTTTTGTTTGGGGTATTTAGATTAAAAATTTGAAAACGTATGAATACACTAACCCGTTACTTGAGAAAAATCAATAACACTATCCATGATAATAATAATTGTACAATTATCACAATAAATTTTATTCAAAACGCATTTCGCTAAAAGGCAACTTCATCAGTTGGACTAGTATTGTAAAAATTGTAAACAATTGTAAGGACAGTATTTGAAAATGTATTGAATTTTTAAACTTTTTCATAAATCAATTTACAAAGAATTGATTAGTTATAGTTCGTAAAGCTGTATTTCTTTAAGATTTTTTCAATACATTGTAATTCAAGTTTTATGTAATGAATGAAATATATTATCGTTATTACTATTTCAATAAACGCTTCATTTCGGTACTATTTATGTTAATACTATATATATTTTTTTTAATTTAAGCAAAAATGAAATAGAAATTTCTGGATTACATGAAACACTGAAAACCTGATAAGAAAAACCATATTATGTTATTTGTTTCACATATTCTACTTATAAAATATAAGTAATGTCCGAATTAATTTTCATTTATGATAATAATAATAACATTTGTTATTTCACAGTGATATTTTATACATTACAAGACATATAAAATATAAAAATGGATTGAAGCGGTTATATTTTTAGGAGTAATTAATTTTTAGGAAAGAAAGTATTTGGCTTTCTACTACTCCATCTTGATACAAAAAAAGATGAGGGAATCTTCCAAAGAAAGGAAGGAAGTAATCAATTTGAAAATAAGTAACTCTAAACATGGATGTGTAGATCATGCAAAGAGAAAAGTATCTTCTGTATAATTCGGTGTTCATATTGTATTTGTTTCGAAAGATTTTTTTTTCTTTCGTGTGTTTTAGAATTACTTATTTTCAAATTGATTACTTTCTTCCTTTCTTTGGAAGATTCCCTCATCTTTTTTGTATCAAGATGGAGTGGTAGAAAGGCAAAAACTTTCTTTCCCAAAAAATGAAAATGGAATAGTGTCACAAGGAAAATTTGCCCCCTTAGCTGAAATATTACTCAAGTGAATATGATTCTATATTCAATAGAAATTTCTTTAGGTATTGTTGTAAATCATGCCCTAAAGAAAGTAAGGCCGGCCACCGCTGGTAGCCATAATTCAATTGTGACGTGACCAAAATCACGTCTAACTCGACGTGCACTGGCGGCCGTTCCAGACGTGGCGTCGCTTCGAGGATAATGCAGCAGGAAATGGGTTAGCTACTGGCTCCAATGGGACATGCGCTTTAAAGATGACCTAACCACTCGGAAATGGAAAAGCTCGGATGGAAGAACCCACAAATTCCGGATAATCCTTTCAAAGACGTGTATCCCGAATATACTCGAAAAGCTCCAGGATAGTCGCAATGGAGGGCATTCTGGAGTGAACAGAACTCTACCGAAAGTGCGTGAGAGGTATTAGTGGATCAATTGCCGTCGAGATGTGGAAGAGTGGTGTAAGCGGTGTGACCTATGCTCTTCGAGAAAGGGTCCGAAGACAAGGCAAAGAGGAAAGTTGAAGAAGTACCCCAGTGGGTGCCCTTTCGAGAGAATCGCAGTCGACATTCTGGGATCACTCCCTATAACCAAATCCGGTAACAAGTACCTTACGGTTGTGATGGAGTATTTCTCCAGAGGGCTTGAAGTAGTAGCCTTACCCAACCAAGAGGCTGAAACGGTGGCGGAAGCCCTGTTGCAGGAACAAAAAGTGGTTGCCGGTGAGTTTCAAGGAGGGCGATGCGGTGTGGATCTACCAACCCCAACGTCGGAAAGGTTTGTGTCCCAAATTGCAGAGACCATGGCAAGAACTTTTACTTGGTAACCAAAAAGATAAACGACCTGGTGTACAGAATCCAATTGTCACCCAGAAGCAAGTCTAAAGTTGTCCACATAGAGAGACTGAGTCCATACATGGGTTGTGATGTCCCCTCTTGGAATGTTGTTCGGGGCGAACAACCTCAGGGAAGAGGTTAGTGTTGTAAATCATGCCCTAAAGAAAGTAACGCCGACCGCCGCTGGTAGCCATAATTCAATTTTGACTTGACCAACATCACGGCTATCCTTGTATAGCTGATCATGCAGGCAATCTATTACAATATCCAATCCTGATGATTGCATCGAAAACACCGTGACAAGACAAGGATTGAACTCTCTACAAGTAGCGATGGAATCAGTTGATTGGAAAGTCGCTTATGATGAAAACAACATAAATAAAATAGGAGAACAATACCAGGACGATACCCAATACCAGGGACAAGAGCCCAGTGAAATTTTTTACCGACAAATTAAAACAAATGAGAGAAAAACTCCAGGTATTAAATAGCATTAGAGCTGCAACTGGAAAGCCTGAACACTACAATGCATTTAAAGTTTATAAAAGGCAATAACAGGGTGTTATATAAGTTAATTAACCATGAATGAAATTTAAATAAAAACTTTCAGCCTCAAGCAGCATTTCTCCTGATGGATATAACATCTTTTTCACAGATGTAGCTGAACAAATTGTAAAATCTCTACCTTCCTGTGTTATTAATACTCTAACCTACCTTTTTACACTCCCCAAACCTAGCACTTCTATTTTCCCCAGCCCAGTTACAGAGGTTGAAGTTAAACAAGCAATAATTAAATTAAAAAACTCTGCTTTCTTGGACAAATATAACTTAAACAGTAGAATTAAGGAAACCGTACACCTTGTTTCTGGTCCATTGACTGTATTTTTCAACCGTTATTTCTGTAAAGGACTATTTCCAGACATCTTTAAAACAAGTAAAATCATTCCCATATTTAAAAAGGGCGATCCAAATATTTCAGATAACTATCAGATAACAATCATTCCTATCTTTAGTAAACTTTTGAGATGCTAATTAAAAAACCACTTAATTTCAATTTCTTTTTCAAAGGCTCATTCTGTACTTGATAAAAATCAATTTGGATTTAGGTCTAACAAATCGACAACCCAAGCTGTGATGGCTATAGTTGATACAATAATAGAGAATATAGAAAAGGGCCTAGTGTCTGCTCTAACTTTATATGATCTAAGTAAGGCTTTTGACAGTATAAATCATGAGCTATTACTAGGTAAACTGAAAGATTATGAGAAATGTAGCAGAGCTTTAGAGCTAATGAAAACCTACTTATGTGGGAGAAAGAAAGTTGTTTATACATCTGGAAATTCTAGCACATGTAGATCCATTTCGCACGGTGTACCACAAGGTTTCATACTGCTACTAACTCTTTTCGTGATATATATCAATGATTTTTTACATTTTTTACTTCCAAGCTTATCTTTTTGCTATGCACATAATGTGCATAGCATGTGGCTTTTTAGCAGCCACCTAACATATGGCATACTTTTATGGGGTCAGTCAAATAATAGCAAATGTTTCTTACAGAGTACACTGTTGTCCTTCATTTCAAGAACTTAAAATTCTACCCTTGCCATGTATTTTCATACTCTACAACGTTTTAGAAATACACAAAAATAATATTAAGTATCTCACAAATGCTGACTTTCATAATGACCCACCTTAAAGAGGTGCTCACCTGAGGCCTCAATTTTATCGAATGGATCTATCAGCTCGAAATTCGCTCAACCTACATTTATATAATAAAATACCAATATACGTAACTAGTTTAAGTTATAACTGTTTCAAGGCTAGAGTTAAGCACTCGTTATTGAGGAACTGTATCTACTCCATCGAAGAGTATTTGAATTGTGAGACATTAACCTTTCAATATGTTATTTTTTGTTTTTAAATTTTAGAAATAGCTACTTTATAGTAATAGTGTGTATAAACTGCAACTATTGTTTTTCTTATTTGTCAGTTTGACTTGTCACTATTGTACATTTTGTAGTTAATATGATGAAATAAACTTATCTTTATATGTAAATAATAATCGCACTGCACAGAATGCAATGAAGTCATCATTAATCATCCCTAAATCCACACTGATCAAAGACTCAATAATTTACGTCGGTGTCAAAATGTATAATAAACTTCCTGAAGATATAAACAACATAGATTCTCTAAAAACTTTTAGGAAAAAGTTACATGAAAGACTGGCATCTAAAGCCTATTACAATCTGAGAGAATATTTTAATGACGAAACGATATGAAATTGACGGTGCTTATATGTAATAACATATGTGTACTTTTACCTAGATGTGATATGTATTATTTTCATGTAGTTATGTAATTGTATATTTATCTGGATGAAGTTATTTACAGGTTCTCTGTTTACCAGTGTTTGTCAATAATGTCCTGTATATTGGATAATAAACACATACCTTGCGAAAAAAGGTCACATTTGCAGAAAAAGAAAATCCTGTTTCACCAAGGCAACACACTGTCTGGATACCTCAGTGGTTGCCATGGCGAAAATTCACAAATTACGGTTTAAACTGCTTGATCATCTGCCTTACTCACCAGATCTAGTCCCAAGCGACTTCTTTTGTTCCCTCATCTAAACATTGTGCTCGGAGTATAGAGATTTTTGTCAAATGAAGAGACAATCACCTTTGTGAACAATTATTTTGCAGAGAAAAACGCCGAGTACTATTTAGACGGATTACAGAGATGGAAGCATTTTCGGGAGAAGTGTGTAGAGTTAAAAGGAGACTATGTTGAAAAAAACCTGAAAAAATGTCTTGTATCTTTGTTAGGTCGCAAACTTTTCAGATCACCCTCGTGATGTATTCTTAACGATTTCTCTTTTGAATATTTGCTTACAAGTTTAGGATTGAGATGTTTAAATGAGGTTTTTCCTAGACTGATTATGTGTGATTTTCAATTGAGTTGCTCATGAACATGGACTCTATTTTGTATACTTAGTTTTCTCGTTTCATTTCATTTCGGAGGATAGAGTTTGGATAAAAATATTATCTCAAGTCTATTCATTTTTAGCTGAGAAAAATACTAACCATAAAACACTTTCCAATGGTCTCTATGATTTTTCATTCATAAACACAATAATGAACTTACCTGACTGGTTCCTCTGGACTCTATCAACATCGAACTCTTCAAAAGCTGCAGTTCCCTGAGAAATTTCACTATCACATATATTTTTTCCAGTACTATTTTTCTCCTCAGTAACTTCAACACTGCTGAAACAGTTAGCCAATCTGACTTCGTCACTAATATCTTCCAAGTTATGGAAATTTGAATCGGATTCAGAGTCTGAAAATGTTATTACTTGGACTTCACGGTTGTTTTCAGTATCATCGATTACTATGAGGTCTGTTCCAAATCCAGATGTATTCTGTTCAATTTCACAATTTACAGGCTCAGAATTACTCTCAGTTATTAACAAAGAATCATCAATTTTATTTTCTATGGGTTCATCATTTGTTGATAATACTGTATTTCCAACAGAGATTTGTTGTTCCATTTCAGTTGACAGTAGTTTTTCTGATGTTGAATCTCTCTTTTTTTTCCTCTTTTTCAACTTATCCGCAGTCCCTTCAGATATTTCTAAACCAGAATCATCTTGTAGGATTTCGGGACCAGATTTTCTTTTCTTCTTTTTAAATTTCCCAGGTAGTATCACCGTTTCTATCACCTTTTCTACATCAACATCTCTACCATCTTCAATATTTTGGGACTCATCATTTTCCTCTTTTGGGTCAGATGTAGGGTCGACTTCAGTTTCACCACTTCCTGCAACGTTTGCTTCATTCTCTAGTGATTTTTCAGCAACTAACACATCCTTCTTTCTTTTTTTCCTTGATTTTTCTTGAAGACTATTTATAATTTCATTGTCTGATATTCTTTGATGATTTTCGGAAGTGACAGATTTCCCTTTTCTCCGTTTTTGTTTGGATGAGGTAGGAGACTTTTCCTTTGAGTCACCGACATTGGAAAGATGGGCACAATCAGACTGCCTCTTTTTATTTTCTGTATTTTCTTCATTACTTCCTGATGAATATTGATTATCATCATCATCATCATCATCCTCAGAGTTTATAATTACTCTTTGGGATGATTTTTTCTTCTTCTTCCTTTGTTTTTTCTTCAGTTGATAATTTCTGTCTTCAGATGTAGGAGAATTTTCTATTTTTTCCAACTCAAATTTTGAGCCACTTTGCAGAAAACTTTTGGCTGTTAATGCCTTTGATATACTTTTTCTAGGTGTCCCTTCAAAACGGGTCATAGGTGATAAATGTGGTAAATTTTTATATTTTGGATCATTTTCAATAATCCTCAGTTTGATTTCATTGACATGATCATAATCACTCTCAGAACTGGTATCATCTGATGAAGTATTATGATCCTGTTTGTTTTCACAAACGACTTTAGGACTTTGGTTGGTTGAAATTTCCTTAGATGACTTGGTGTTTCTTTTGGGTGTTATAAATGAACTGAAACTTTCTAAATTTTTTTCAGAAAATATATCTTCTTTGGGAAACTCAACTTCATCAAAAACAATTGTTTTAACTGTATTGCTGAAATCTCTGTTCTGCTCATTTGTACTACAACTACTTTCAGTTTCACAATATTCAACAGGCTTTGTTGATGGCCTTACAAAATCCCCGTGGCTATTATTAAAATCTGATCCATGTAAACTAAAATTGAAGTCCGTAGAGATATTCTCTGGCGATGGGTGTTCTAGGAAATCATTCGATGCATTTGACTCTGGAGTTTTCACCAAATCTCTGCTTTCTTCTAGGTTGCTGGAATTTTTCAACTGATTTTCTATAGTAGACTTCTTCGATATATCTTTTGAACCAGATTTATCGACAAGTATAATTGGAGGATTTATTTCTGTTTCATTTTCTTCAATGTCAATTACCTCAATAGGAGCTGGTGGGATATAAACAATATCATCATCTGATTCAGGTTTTTTCCCGCCTTCCAATTCATCATATTTTTTGGGAAATCCAGTATTGATTTCTTGATTTCTAGAAATGTTTGTAATTGTGTTATTCTCTACTATAACACAATCATCAGAATCGTCAGATAAAAATATGGTTACTTCATTCGATTGTTTTGGTTTGTCTATTCTTTTTTTTTGTTTCTTTTTATCCTTTTTAGACAATTTCAACAATTTAAGGGTCTCCTTCGACCAAGAAGTAATATACTTTTCAGGCTGCGATATTAAGGTCCTATCAGGATTTATTATGACCGGTAAAGTGAACTGATTAACTGTTATATTATTGTGGAATTGATCCTTGTCACTACTGGTGATAATAGTTGTCGAGTTAGAATCAAATGTAAAATCATTTTGAATTTTAGAGGTGGAACTCTCTTCAACTAGACTTTTGTCTAATGAAATATATGTTCGTGATTGATAGGGTGAATCAGATTGAACTTTTTGCTGAAAATAACGCTTGGGTTTCCTAACATTATTTCTTGCTGAAGGTACATGATCCATGGCATTTTCAGAAATGGGATTTTCTTCATTTCCACCAATAGAATGGTAAACTTGACTGTATAGTCTCCATTCCAGCTCTTCCAAATCAGAATCTTCTTCCTGAAAAAATAATTCAACAATAAATATAAATCAAAAATTTGTTTAGCTGTTTCACCATTATTTCATCAACTTATTACTGTAGCATAATTTTATTTTAACGTTCATGATAACTATCCCTTAAGAAATTTCTCATAATTCCTCTGACTTGTAAAAAAGCAATTAACCTCTATCTTTTCTTATTCTTCTCCATTTGTATGATTATTGCTTCCTTAGTCAGGCGCATTTGATCAGTGTACCTCCTAATACGTAACATAATAGAAGCTTTCTCAAACAGTGAACTTCGACGTGTACTAAGTTGAACCTCAAAACGATGATTAACCACAGCCTGTAGCGTGTTTCTGATATGTACCGCTCTTGTTGGAATCAAATGTGCATAAAAATTATCAAGTATTATTAATTTCCAGTAATTTTTTTACTTCTTAACTATCTACTCGAATGTAAAATTACCTCTTTATGATAATTAGTGAATTCGAAAGATATTTTAGAGTCACTCGAATAAAAATTTTCCTTTATGAAAAAAAGGTACTGTTTCAAAAGTTCTTATTACCAGAATCAGTTGATTTTTTGACTTTTGAGTATGCGTATCTCCAAAAGTATCCTTGAGCTCCAAGTTTTGATATTGAGTTGGTGATTGGCGAACAGAAATAAATATGTAACATTTATAATTCCATATCAGAAATTCATTACAAGGAAGATTCTAACCAAAAATTTAAACCATAGATGTCATCAATATAGGTTGAATAAATCTATGGAAAATTCGATGGACCTTGATCTTTACAACAAACTTCCAGATTACTTCATAGATCTTTCCCAGAATTTTTTCAAGAGTAGAATGAAACATTTTTTCCAAACTCACCGTTTTTACTCTACTTCCAAGTTTCACAGTTTCAATTTTTCCCCGCAACTCTGAATTTGTTGAATGAAACAAACTGATTTTACTTCTATGAGTATCAGTTCTTGTGGATATGTGTAGGTGTCTCTTGTTCGTAAGAAATTTCAACTTGTCAATTTATAAACACGTATGAATGTATTGACTTGTGTGAATGCTGCATTACATGAAGCACCAATAAATTACTTACTTACTTTAAAACTAGTGCACTCCTTTAAAACATACATTTACTTTATTATGCTTTAATATATCGTGTCCATTGACTTTTCATTTTCAGACTCATTTGTACAGTGATTTGTTTTTCTACAACATCCCTAACAATACTTGGATTGCTGTGAAAGCTCCTGCGGGTCCTCCTCCAAGATGTGGGCATCAAATGGTTGTAACATCAGCCAACAAGGGTCAGCTATGGGTGTTTGGAGGAGAATTCGCCTCTCCCACACAATCTCAATTTTACCACTACAGAGATCTGTGGTTGTTTCACATTGCTGCCAAACGATGGGAAAAAATTACAGTTCCCAATGGGCCGAGTGCAAGAAGTGGGCATAGAATGGTATTCATAAAAAAACAGTTATTTGTTTTTGGTGGTTACAACGATAATCTTAGGAGCTATAAATACTATAATGATATATATTCCTTCAATACTGAAACCTACAAATGGACAAAACTGGAACCAAGTGGAACAGCACCGTCTCCAAGGTCTGGCTGTTGTATGGTAGCCATGAATGATGGGCGAATACTTGTTTATGGGGGATACTTAAAAAAAAATATCAAAAAAGATGTAGATAAAGGGATTGTGCTCACGGACGCTTTCATCTTAATTCCAGAAAGTAAGGAATGGTTACTATAAACAACTGCAATTCTTCATAATTTCAGAGCTATACATTGTTTTTGTTCCTCAAAATTGTTCTTAACTATATTATCATCATAACCAGAATTACCTTTGAAAGTAGACAACTCTACAAGCACAAGGATTTGTGTGGTTTTGTTGAGTGTCACAATACTGAGTTAGAGGTGAATGCGGAAGTTTGAAAGTTTCTTTGCTATTTCTACATTAGTGTGAAAGTATTAGTTTAGAGTAAAAGGTAACACTGAAACCTCTAGTATAGAATAAATCCAAAACAAGCACTTCAGAAATGCTTGATTGGACTTATAACTTTAGAATTAAAACAATAGTTCCCTTTTTGATACTAGTTCTTGGAGTTATATTCAATTTTCTCATGGTCAAATCATATCATGTATCTGAGAAAGAGAATATCGCTAGTTGTCAGAATTTGATAAAGAATAAGAAATCATCACAAAAATATTGAGAATTATATATTTCATTCTTTTATATTAAAACTGAGAATATTTTTTTTCAATGTGGAAATCAGCAGACATTCATATTTCAAGACCCTTAAAACCGCTACAAAATGGACAAAGAAGTGTATTTCCAAATTACCAGTGTATTTCCGGTACCAGCTATTCAAATGGAAGATTTATGTATTATATATGATGGAATTGGCCGATACTTTTTACAAAAACGCGTTTTTGTAAAATCGTTCAGTGAAAAGCTCACAATAAAGTGTTTTTTGAATATGATTAATGTATTCACTCACTTCAAACAATACCAAATATTCTGTATCAATATTTATTTCAGATTTCAGTATTCCTAAGTAAAACACAATTGAATGATTTGGTTTAGGGAGAATCAAGTCAAACTTCGGTAAAAAAATCACACGAATATTACTAGAGTTAAATTCCAATACCAAACCGTTATTTTTAATACCTCGACACGTGTTTCAATCACCAAGTGACCATCTTCAAGTTTAATGTTCCTCTTGAAGATGATCACTTGGTGATTGAAACACGTGTCGAGGTATTGAAAATAACGTGTTGAGGTGTTGGGAATAAACTCCATTAATATTCATTACTTCACTATAGGTTGCAAACAGTGCATCTCAAGTAAAAAATTATTACTCCTTCATAATGAAGTTTTTATTCATAATAACTGGTCAGAAGAAATTAAAAAAAATAATGTTGATCTTATTTAAAAAAAATGTATCATGAATCAGTAAGGAAAACAAGTATTTTTTAATTTTTTATGCTGTTTGTTGTATTCAAATATTTTTTTAGGTTTGTTTATCCATATATATTATATGTGTAATTATTCAGTGTCATGGTTGTGTTCCATATGATGATTTTATTTCAATGTCTTTTTTTACTGCTAAAACTATTTTTATCCATCTAATTTTTCTCTTTTTTTTTTCAGAAAATGATGTTACTGGTCTAAAGTACAAATGGGTTCAAACAAAAATAGGAGGTATACATATCTCGCCTAGATGTAGCATGCCCATTGTATCTGCCTCAAATAACTTATCAGCTTATTGTTATGGTGGAGTTTTTGATACTGAAGATGATGAAGAAAATATTGCTGGACATTTCTTTAATGATCTCTATCAACTGGATTTGGAAAGGCTCACTTGGAAGAATGTTAGTCTCAGTGGCAAAAAAGAAAAAGATAAACCACGACGAAGGAAAAATAAAGATGGAGATGAAATGAATGATGGTGAGTGTGAAATTTTGATTGTAGTGACATTTTTGTGTGTGTTTATACCTTTTTTAAAAAATGCACTTATTTCCTAGACAACGAAGTTGATGACCAAGATATGGAAATAGAACATATTGAGGAAAAAATAGAATCTACTACAATATCAGATGATGGCATATTCAAAGTTACTTTGGGTGCAGCACCTGCAACATCAGGAAGTACAGAAATTTTCAGTAATGGTCATATTTCCAAATTATTCCAACCCTCTCCTAGAGCTAGCTGTGGGCTAGCAATAAAGCATGGAGTTTTATACTTGTATGGGGGCATGTATGAAGACGGTGATAAACAAATAACATTCAGTGATTTCTATTCTTTGGATTTAAAAAAAAATGAAGAATGGAAGACAATCATCGAGGATGACACATCTTCATTGGAATGGCTAGGTTCTGACTCCGAGAGTGATGAGGGAAGTGAAGAGGAGTCTGAAGAGTCTGACTCCTCAGAGGAAATGGACACTGAATAATAATGTTCCTGCTGAAAAAATGTTATACCATTTGTAAATATAATTTATGAAAGTTATAGTTCTTTCATCTGTGCTATTAATTAGAAAACCAACTATTTATACAGGGTCCTGCAACAGTGGCGCGGTGTTCCATATCTCTATATAGGAAGCAGATAGGAATCTAATTTTCTATAATATTACCTTATTGCTCGAGCTCGACAAAATAAAAATATTGGCGGTCACACAGGGTGTTCGTGAAAGTCACCCAACTCAACCCAAAACGCCTGTACGACTTCCAACGCCAATGAAAACTGAGGGACCATTTAATATCGAGCAGGGTAAGAATATAACGCTCTGGGAGAGCGGTTGTCAGACCTTTACGCTATCGCGAAGGTTAGTCAGTAGTTATGCTGAAGATGAGAAGATGTATCATCTTGGAGGGGGATGTTGTATTACCTACCTTAACCAGAGTTATGAAAAAAGAAGAAGAGTTTTTTGACCATTGACATATGAGAGGTGTTCTGGGAATATAATGACTGATAAATTGTAACAACATATAATGTTTTTATTAAAATAAAACTATATAAAGTAGTCAAAACTTCTATAAAGAGTTAATCCGTAGAACGAATAAAACATACTCGAATAATTTCACCATGTTCCTGTTGCTTGATGAACGATAAATATCTGCAAGATTAACTTTTGTGAAGTATCTTGCAAAAATGTCTGTCGGATATAATTCAATATCCAGCGTTGTATTAGCCGGGAAAGTAATTGTTTTCCGGCAGGCATTTACCAGAACCTACGGTATAGGTAGTTAGGAAGGATGAATATTTCGAGAGTCAATTTCGAAATATTTATTTCAAGTATTGGCTGCTCAGAGTCCAATTGATTCAACTTCTTACTCTGGCAATGAAAAACACTAGCAAAATGATGGAATTATAAATTACGAATGAAATATGAATTATGTGCTTAGGCGTAACAATGGAATAAAAATATTAAATAGGTAGTAAAATATTTAAAGATAGACTGCATGCTTAGGGGAAGATTGGTATATACAACCATTATGGGAGAAACAGTCGTGGCACGGGTAGCAAGGGGCTGTTCTCAGGGGGGTTCTATCCCCTATGTTATGGAACCTTGTAATGGACGAGCTACTATGTCTCTTGGACCA